CCCCCGCCCCCCTCGTTTGGGCCTCATTAAATCACAGCATCCTTCCGAAACTAGACTGGCTACATACCAGCCCGAATGTCTTGAGCAGCCAATAATCGGTGTCTGAGGCGTGACATACACGTGCAGGTGCAACGAGACGCGTTTTGACTGTTACACCTCTTTGGACACGCGTTTTCTTTCCTTCACCATTCACTACTCTCTACAACACCATCAACTGTGCCCACTCTCACAGATGAGAACATTTAAGGCTGTGAGCATTTTCTCTCACACATGATCGCAGTGCATGACACTGAACAACAGAACGTTTAGCCCCATAGACGGCTAAACCTGTTCCTCTCACCGCCATCCGTGTGTAATCCCAGATGAAGCCAACGACCTCCCCACTCTAGTTTTCAAGGTCATGAATGCATCGGATCGCTTTCCTATGGTCGGGAGAACCTCTGAAGAGACATTGCACCACATATCAGAATCAAAGCCACGAATGTTTCCGCCTATGCAATGACCATTAGAGCCGTAGCATCAATCTTTGTCAATACTGACAACGAAGATGGACCAGTCGAATGCTTCCTTCCCGGAATAGCGGTGGAACATGGCGAAACACAACTGTACGCCGATTTGCATCCACGTAGAAAACGAAGATGCTGATGATCACGCAGGAAAAGCTTGCCAACGGCAGCAACAACAGGGCATCTGGAACGGAACCCACGACTTGAGTATGCCCTACGGACACCCTACATCTCATTACCGATCCTATTACGATGCTTCTGAGCCATCCCCGAGGTGAGGCCCGGGGCCAGACAGGCTTAGACAGAGGTAGATAAGAAACGAGGGTTTGTCAGTCGGGGACTGTGGGCCTGGAGTAGACATCTGAATTTTCCGTGTGAGCAGCTCTTTTGGGTTTGTGCACTGCTTCCTGCCCAGCGCACGCGACTGACATGCCCCAGTTTGTACAGAACCTTTTCCCCCTCCTCGGGAGCTTCACCGCTCGCCCCTTGCTACCGAGCACGATCCCCTACCCTCTCACTCCTATCCTCCCCTCTCTCTGCCTCTCGCTGCTCTTCGTCGCCTCCACCGCGTATACAGAATCTATCACCCTTTCCCGCTATCCGGTAGCGTACAAGGCTTATCAGGCGCGGGTGGGCAAGTTCAGCCCGGGGCATGCGGTCATGAAGTAGGTTTGGCTCGGTGTGATCCGGAACAGGGAGAGGGTGGAGAGGCTCGTTTGGGGCGATGGGGAGGACGGGGAGGCGAAGAAGCAGAGATAGTATGTGTGTATTGGATAGAATACACTTGAGTTTGTGAGCAAGACCGATGGCTAGTCGCCCATCTCTTATGGACAGGATCTCTGGAATTACGCTGTCGAAGCTCACGGGAACTACATAAGACATTCGCCACGGGATACGGTACTAAACCCCCCGAACTCGCATAAAATACATATTGGCTACGGATACAACAAGCGAGGTCATTCAACTATCGCACCATCGTACCTTGGCCCCTCACCATTCGCTAGCATGGGCGCTTTCCTAAGTCTGCTGGCAATGGGCTTTCCTCCTCTACTGCGAAACCCCGTCAGCCCATTAGCCCTACGCAGAACAGAAACAAAACACTCACCCAGTAACTATATATGCGTCCCCGACGTTGCCAATGAGCAACAGTTGGTCGCAGTTTGGACCTTGGCACTGCGTAAAAGTTGTGAGCCTCGTTGCTGGGATGTGTGGCCTGATAGGCTGTTGGTTGACGGGAACTGGAGAGGTGTTAGTGCTCCGCGTGTCGGAAGCGGGTCGGATGCCCACCTGGAGTTGACATACTTCACCGAACGAAGCTCCGTTATTATTCCTAGGCTGAGGGAAGGCATATTAACTGTTCAGGACGTGTGACAGTGCGTGACTCTTCTGGCAGGATAGGAGCTCGGAGCTGCGGTGTTGTGATGGTAGATGACAGATGATACCCGCGGTGTCACTATAGTCGTCATGGATATGACTTTCTAGGAGGGATGTAGAATTGCGATCGCTCCATTGTCGTTTGTGAGATTCTGTCTGGCTAGGGGAAGCCGGTGTGTGTGGTTGTCGGATGCGCGCAGGTTGACAGTGTCAGTAGGTGAGGCAATTTGTGATGGTCATCGTTGCCCTCCCAGTCTTCCTATGTTAGCATTTGCCAAAGGGGCCTACTGCCCCTAGACAATATATATCGTATTCGATCAGATCTGGGGTTGGGTTAGCGTCCGTGCTGTCCGTCGTCGTGCGGCGCTCAATAGTTCACCTCCTGTACCTCCCATGGTCCTCCCGAATTAACGAATCTGTTCTATCTTTTGTCCTGGCCCACTGTGTCCCACGACGCCGCTTAACATTAATCGAGTCTAGGTGAGGTTTGCTGGTATGTAACGCCGTAGGAGATTCATTGCCAATGACGAGTGCTGACCCGATCAACGAACGTAACACCTCTTTGAGACTCGTGCCATCTCTTGTTTGCTGGGCTGGCCTTGACAGGTTGTACCCTTGAGCGGCCAATGCTAAATAGAGAACACGATTCGATTGCGCAAATGCCGTCTAATAAATGTTACAAGTGTTCATGAAATGATTGGGAGTGTTTCAAATGGGTTGGTATGCGAAATGCGTGGAGGATATGTGTTGCAAGTGGATGATCGGTGTTCGCCTTCGCCGCCGCTATGTGCTCCTCCCTTCCAGACCTCCGCCGCTGTCTCATAGAGCTTCTCCAAGTCAAGCAGGCACTGCGCTTGCTGCTCTGCTCGCACTTTCCACCTTGACGATTCCCGCGCTTGCGTGCTTCTCTTTCTCTGGACTCTTCTCCTTGTCTACCTTTGCGTTCTTCTTCATCGCCTTCTCCAGCTCCATCCTCTTCGCAGCCTCGACATAGCTCGGGCGAGAATAAGGACGGTACTCGAAGTGACGCTTAATGTAGAAGCACATGTAGGCACGGGAGTCGAGGCAGGCGCGTAAGGTCGTCCGGACCACCCTGAACGCTGTCAGTTGGTGCAAAATTGAGGGAGGAATGGCACGTGCTTATCATCGTCATAACGATACCACTCTCCGTCCACGCGTGCAAAGTTGGTATAATGCCCCGTGTCTATCTTACCCTCATGGTTGACAACAGCAAACAGATCATAGTCGTACAGCACTTCAGGTCCGAATTCGTCAGGGCTACAAAATTCGACTGTCAATGAACACTGCGTGGGTCTCAAACAAGAACTCACTCTATCGTTCCTTCTGGTTTGCCAAGCGCGGCGGATGTGAATGGGGCCATGTTGATCACGGACGGAAACCGGATGGGTGTGTCTATCTTAGTTGCGGTAGATGAATGCTCAAATCGCTGTGCACATCGATCAGGCACCATCGACTCATAAGCAGAATCGAACAAACCTTGAAATGGAATGCCAAAACTGGGGGGAGCTTGCGGAAACTCAGACGCTTCGTAGCGCCATTAGTCATCTTCCCGCACTCGCTACAATTATACTCATGCGGGAGTTTCTCGTGCCTTGTAAACCTGTAGATGTCGTATATGAGCACTGCCAGCTCAAGAGGACGAGCAGACCTGACCTGCGTAAACAAGCTCCAAGGGTGTTCTCATCTGCCACTCCTAGCTGGTGCTTGTTCTTCGACCCGGCGACGCCCTTCAGGTCCAAGCTGATATCGAGCATCGGGTCCAAGGTGGTCGTCACATTCCCACATTCGCCGCAGACGACCTCGCTCTGCAGCTGGCCGGCAAATGTGGAGTGAATGATACAGTTGCAGGAGACGTTTGTTGAGCCCCGGGAGGAGGCGTGGATTTGATGCAGGGCGGCGAGGTAGAATTCGTGGGCATCTTGCTGTGCATAGCCAGCTAGTTCGGTGGTGGTGAGCCACATAGCGTGCATGAGGGAGGTAGGACCATAGGGCGTGGCGGTATTGGTGGAATAGAACTAAAATGAATTAGAAGCGGAATTATACTAGACAAGAAACACGCTCACCTCTGCGAATAGCTTGTCCATCTCACAACATATGCACGTCTTGTTATTCTTGCACAACCTCGTCGGATGTTTATCACTCAAAAAATAGTTTCTTAGCACAGGATTGTGCAAGAAAGTCTGCACGATCACGCTGAGGTAGCACGAGGCGCCGAGGTTGAGCAGCCCTCGCCGGCCTGGGTCAACATTAACACGCGCAATGGCACCAGAAGAATTAGGAACGTACCACGTCCTGCGACGCTCTTGAACCCCGCGAGCTGGACTCGGTGCTGGCCCTCGTTCCACGACGTGAATTTCTGGCGCTCGATGCTGTTCTCCTGTGAGACTATACAGGCATCAGCCCCCAAGCGAACAATAAACTCCCTGAAGACGCACCTTGCGTGGGCGTGCGTTTCTCTTCCACCGCTAACAGCACCTGCTCGAATCGCTCGTCCATCTCTTTGGAATAGATGAAATCGTCACATGAATGGCAGAATATCATCCCTGATTTAGCGTCGATCCCTGCGGTTCCGAGAGAGATGAGTGATGCACGCGTTTCAGATGTGGGTCGACGTACCAAATAGATGCCCCGTCTTCTCCAGATGGGCCTTCACGTGTCCATCGTCCCAGCCGCCGAGGAAGGAGCATTCCAGGCACAGCTGGGGTCGATGAAGCGGAGCAGCACACCCACCGCACATAGGCGCGGGGAGCTGTTGAGTGTCAGCACTGAGCCGGGCAGAGCACCAAAATAGACGCACCCTCCGTTTCTTTTTAGGTGGGGGACCATCCATCCCCAAATAATGCGAGCCTAGGAGCGCGGCTGTCCTCAGTTTTTCGCCGAACCCAGCACGAGCATCCTCTGATATACAGGCAGCGGCAAAGTGCTCGCACCCTGGCGCTTGGGTCATGGCAAGAGCGTTGTGCGCCGCCTGGCCGTCCGAGCGCGGGTGGATTGTATACCGTTCGCGAGCGTCGTCGTAGTCAGTGAGCAAAGGGAAGCAGACGATGAGAACGGTGAGATAAAGGTGTATGTAAGTAGCGTGGTTATGGAGAAGAGTATGACAGGGACTGTAAATATGAAAGGAGGCGGTTGCGGGGATTATACGAGCCTCAGGGACTCGGAGTGAACCGTAACTGGAAAGCTGGCAGTCACCATATTTCCTTTCACGCTATTGTTGTTGTCCGCGGATTTCTGTTTGGAAATGGCATTCCTCACAAGCTTGTGTTCTTGCTTCACTTCACAGGACAGAGAAGAGGAAGCCGTGCTTGCTGGAGATATCCATTTGCCCCCAGCGTATGTCAAAAGATGCGTATTCTGCAACGTCAGCCGTGAAAAGGGTTTCGACATCCTACATGAGGTTGGCCCAGATCCCAATGTACGAATAGGACAAATGGAGCTCATATGAAGCGTAGAGCGACGACTTGATCGTGTTCAGAGATCGGGCGCCGGCGGCTACGGAACACTTGTTGGCTATACCCCGCCATCATCTAGGTTAGCATTCCGATGGGTAGACATGACCATTAACCCTCATGTACCCGCAGCGAGCGTCAAAGCATTGGGGAAAGATGATATACAATTAGGTAAGAGGATACGCTACCGAGAAGAGTGAACCGCTCAGATGTATTGTGTTGTGCAGTGCGAAACCTACAAGCTGCCAGTGTTCAAGCATTCACCGAACTCGGTTTCGCCCCCGAAAACCAAAAGCTCGTACTCCATCCCTCGTTTGTCCTGCCGAGCTAACCTTGAGCAGATTCGGCTTCCACGTCCCACCCTTTAACTTGATCAACCACCTCCATCTGCATTGCTTCGGGCTCCCCTTCCGGCCATCGAACGAATGGAAGTTCCACGTCGCGCTGAAGCAGGGAGGGAAGGGCTTCAGCTGGTTTGTAGAAATTGGGCAAGTGTATGAGATTTTGGGCAAGGGCGGCAAGGTTAAGGTGCTGTCGTGTTAATAGAAACAATCGGGTTGAAGGGACAGACATTTAGAATGCGGAAAACTATTACCACTCCATTTTTATTGGAATCAAGAATACCCATACTAGTTACTCATTATAAGAAGCAGAATTTCCTGACGTCACGTTACCAAACTGTTCGTTGTTGGTCTAAGTGTAAAGAACAATCAAAATGCCAAGCCTGTCTGTTGTCGTTTGTTTTCTCATGTGGGCGACCCTGTTCCTGGAGAAGCGTTCCATTATGAACCGGAGTCAAACGCGTCTGGCCCTTCAGACTTTCTCGCCGCTGACTTTTACGATGCGCAGGAACGAGCGTACGAGGGATATTGCATATATCGTTAGTGTTATAACAGAGAAATGGAATACATGTAGTAATGGTAGAAGTTGGCCACCAGCTGTAGGATGGGTTACGTGAAGGAGGCTTGCAAGGGAGAACACGCGCGCGTCTATCTAGAGCGGGAGCAGTCTAGAATTCACTTGGCACATCACGACCGAGCGGAGACGGGACACGGAACACGGGGAAGAAGCGCCCCTGGTTTTTCACCTAATCCCCCCTTCCTCTCCTCATCGACCATCCTCCCTTGCTCGCTGTCTCCTCTCTTCAGCGCGTCCCTCACCGCATTACAGCTGCTCATCGCTGTAATAGTCTATAGGCTATCCTTGCCTGCTCCTCTCCTTCCCTACAAACCTGTCACTGTCTTTTCCCACCCACCCAAATACCTACCATGCTCTCTCTCTTGCTGCTTGCTCCTCTTGCACTCGCTGCGGGTCATGATAACCTCATCCGGCGACAGACACACAAGGCCCGCATGGCCACTCCCGAAGCCGAGCTCGAGAAGAGACAAGACGGGACTTTCGGCGGTCGTGCTACCTTCTTCGATGTCGGGTGAGAATATTTTCTCATACCCTTGGTCGTTATCCTGACACGTCCCCTAGCCTGGGCGCTTGCGGACAGTACAACGTCGCGAGCGATTTCATCGTTGCCCTTAACACCCCCCAATACGGCGGGGGCTCTCCCGGCCCCGAGTGCTTCAAGATGATCACGATCACTTACAACGGGAACACGCAGCAAGCACAGATCATGGACGAATGCCCTTCCTGCAACTACGGCGACCTCGACATGTCCCGCGGCCTGTTTGACTCCTTCGCTTCCGAGGACCTGGGCGAGTTCCAGATGACTTGGTGGTACAACGATGCCGCGCCGCCGCCTTCCCAGCCCACGACGAGCACGCAAGACCCACCTACGAGCACTTGGCAACCGCCTCCCACCACTTCCCAGTGGCAGCCACCGAGCACGACGAGCACGTCTACGACCCCGACCCCGACCCCGACGAGCACATCCACCTCTACGAGCCAGACGACCTCCTCGTCCACATCGTCGACGTCTTCCTCGTCCAGCTCCAGCGGTACAGACTCTCTCAACGGCACCCCCACCACGCTCTCTACTGCTCCCAACGCGACCCCCAGCCCAGGAAATTCCATAAACAACGAGAACGACCTCAACCAGCTCGTCGTCGCCCTGGGGAACATAATCGCCAAAGCACCAGCGTCGAACTGATCTCCCAGACTCTATATCCGCATTTGTTTTTCTTGGTCTCGCAGGTCTTTCACGCACACAAACAAGATGCTTTTGTCTTTCCCTCTCCGTCTTCCCTCCCCACCTTAACTTACGACCCCGCGCGCTGCCCTCTTTCACCAGCGTCGCGACGCAAGCCGCTTAACTTCAGCCTCTAAACCAAGAGGTCAATTCAACGACTGGGAAGGAGGATCCTCTGTCCGGACGCTAGACGTAGGATATCGCTGGCCTCTTTCCTTCTCTTTCTCTCTACCTTTTCTTTTGCTATCGATTTGAAACGTCCATAGTGGATACAGTTTTGTACATGGCATTTGAAGGGGGAAATTGGATGTTCTTGACAACAGATGCTGTGTGACGGACTGGTTGTGCTAAGTTCTAACCAACTGCTTGACCGTGACACTGTCAGCGTTGCTATTCTTTAAACTAAGGGCACAACTTGAATAGCCTAGTTGTTTTAAAACCTGCCTTGATGGAAACTATGAAGGTCAGGAGACTTCCCCACCAAAATTATATGTCATTCTGTTCCCAGCGTGAATCGAACACGCGCCTTCTCGGCCACAACGAGATGCCCCACCGCTAGGCCATGGAAACTGTACATGAGGTGTCTTCACTTTTTATTTATATCAGCAGGTATAATCATACCATCAAGTAACTTTCACCCCCCCCGCTCTCTAGCCTCTGTAAGGAAAGCGTTCCTCCAGTGTAGGTAGCGCGGTGCTGATGCCCCTTCCCACCCTATTCGCTCGATCCGCCCCACTTCTAGCCAGTCTTAACACATCACTCTATCTCTGTCCGATGATAGGTGCTCACGCCCCCCCTAAGGGTCCGAGGTGATAATGATAAGCAACCCCGTGAGCCGGACCACGGACGGTGTGCTAGCACATGTACCCTCTGCAGCTGGCAAAGAGCTATAAGCCCATCCCAGAATTTCATCTTCGTCCCCCTTCAGTGCTCTCGTCTCTTCCTCCTACCACCTACCGCACCCGCCAGCTCCTAGCAACCGCTGCCAAATCACACGTCCTCCGTTTGTTGGGTAAACCCACGCTCCCGAAAGGAAGGACAATGGCTGAGCTTACCGCGGCCCGATATGGGAAGGACAAAGTTCGGATCTTCCGTGTTGTCCGTTCAGTCAAGGGCGATCCCCAGGCATGGCATGATGTCGTCGAGTACAATGTGAAGGCGCTGCTGGAGGGGGATATCGCTGCGAGCTACACTAAGGCGGACAACAGCGTTGTCGTGGCTACCGATTCGAGTGCGTTCTCCCTTCTCTGCTCGGGCGATGTGATCGGACACCCGGCTGATCTTGCGCAGTCAAGAACACATGCAACGGTGCGCTAGACGTGTGTACCCGAGTACAGGATCCGGAGACGCTGACGGGTTGATGGTGTTCTGCAGTGTTCGCAAAGACGTCACCGCACGTGTTGCATCCCGAACAGTTTGCGCTCGACCTCGGCGTGCACTTTGTCACTACTTACGCACACATCCATAAGGCGTTCATCGATATCGAGCAGCTGAAGTGGTCGCGAATCACCGTCAGCAAGGACGGTCAGCCGCACAGGCACTCATTTGTCCGTGATGGGGATGAGAAGCGGCTGACGTCTGTGGAAGTACGTCTTGCGGGCAGGTGATGTCAGAGCTTCGGCTCATGCTAGCACAGGTCGACGCTACGAAAGGCAAGAATGCGATCACCGCCAAGGTCACGTCGGGCTTGTCCGGCTTGCTTGGTATGTAGCGTCATCCCCGCATTGTGCACGTAATTGATGAGCTATGCTTTCTCTTTGGTAGTGCTCAAAAGCGGCGGATCGGCGTTCGAGGGCTTTGTACGCGATGAGTGGACAACTCTAGTTGGTGGGTATTATTAGAATGGCTAGGTCATCGATAGCTCTTGCTCAGTTTTATGGAGAGGTCGACGATCGTATCTTCTCAACCGAGGTGGATCTCTCGTACACCTTCGCATTGCCGGTCGAGGCCCTGACGGCCGCGGGGATTGCCGCGCTGCAGGATAAGGTAGGTTTTGACAAGGCGTCGGAGAGCGCGAAGCAGATTACGCTCGATTTGTTTGCCACGGATGAGTCTGCCTCGGTTCAGGTAAGGAATCCCGCACACTTTCCCGGCGTACTGGTTGCTAAGATACGCCACAGGCTACGCTGTTCAAGATGTGCAGCGAGATCATCGCTGCGAGCCCGAGTGTGGAAAGTGTATCCTACAGATTGCCTAACAAGCACTACATCCCTGTCGATCTGGGTTTCAAGGGACTGGCGAATCTGAAGCCTGTAGACGCAGAGGTGTTCTGCCCAGTCGCAGCACCGAGGTATGTCGTTTCTCACTTGTCCAAATCGGGTATTGATGCGATGCTTCTCCCCCTTTCCCGTGCAGCGGTCTCATCACCGCTACTGTCAGTCGCAAGCACTAGGAACCCGGCGGAGATGCAACAAACTGGTCTGGTGATCAGGGTCTGGGGATTCCTAGGACTTGAGGGTCTCAGGGATATTGTATTGTTGGCTGCAATAGAAACAAGATTTTGGGAGCACGAGGAGCAGGAGGCGGGAAAAGCGGGAGCGTGTAACAAGGCTAAACGAATGAAAGTGAAATGTCAAAATAGAAGACATGACTGAATTAGGAAAGTGAGTCCGGTATCAGGGTGCGACGCAATGAGAAGGTGTGACGATGATGAGGGGATGATGATGTTATTTCGTCGGTCGTTGCTTCTCTTCGGTCCACCCGTGTGTCGGCAGAAGGCGGGTCAGACGTCAACTGATTGACTGGGTGGCATGCATGTCTGGAATGGGACTAAATAGTATAGCAAACAACGTGTGTTCCCCCTTTTATCGTTATGCGTTCTGGGTATTATCGTCTGAGGCTCTATCCAAGGGCGTGTGGTATGACGCAACGGGATCAACTTGAAGTGCGTGCGAATCCCGTAAGGAGATCCCTGACCAGACAACGGGTCTTGCGGGTCTTGGAAATGGAAGCATTTACATGTGCTTCCGATTGGGTCCGCCCGTGTGGGAGAGATGTCAAAGGAAGACCAACTACGTCATAGGGTGAAGAGCGCGACGGTGACCGACCTGTGAACCCATCACTGGGTCCGGCAGAGTTGAAGCAAAGCAGTCCATCATGACCATGCACACGCACCGTGCTGGGAAACGATCTTCCCCTCCTCCCCCTCTCTTTTCCCCCACCATCCGCCACGATTCCCACCGAATCACCGCCCTTTCCCGGACGCCCCCCGTCACCTCCGGCCTTGAAACCCCCCGCTCACCCGGACATTCCCCGCCCTTTCCCTTTCTCTTCGACCACCACCTCGAACCTCCTCGACCAACACACGCAGTCAACACAGCTTCACCGCATTAGCATTAGCCAACCGTCCGCTGATAACTGTTGTCCCTCCCCCCTTTGCTCTTCCTTCTAGTCCACCACCAACGCCATCTACTTGTATACCAATCCAATCTAAAACATGGGAGGTGATCACCCATGCCCGGTCTGCAAGGCCACCTTCACTCGTCCCCAGCATGTTGCGCGGCATATGCGATCTCGTAAGTTCATTATCCCTTGTAGATGTATGCGCGCTTCTCTGACTCGAAGCATTCCAGACACCGGAGACCGACCCTACAAATGTCAGCAATGTGGAGATCAGTTTGCTCGAAGGTGAGCCTATCCCACCCCTTGTACATGCGCTCTGTGTGACCAACCCGCTCTAGCGACCTCCTTTCCCGGCACGTGAACAAATGCCACAGCCATAATCCGCAGCCGCCGGGGCAAGGTAAGAGCACCGCCGCTAATCAGGATATGGATGACAAGCGGCGGGCCTGCGATCAGTGCAACCACTCAAAGGTGCGATGCGACTTCGGGATTCCATGCGGTATGTAACCCGATATGTGATCATCAGAAACCCGAGTCACTGATTACCGCTTTAGGAAAGTGCATTCAGAGGAAGACTATATGCACCTACGCGAAACCACCAAAGAAACCCGTGGCGCAGAAGGATTTTTCGGATATGCCGAGTACATCAGCAAGCACTTCGGTCTATGACTTCCCTCCGGGCGCCCATATGACCATGTCCGTTCCCGGGGTTCCGCTGCATTACCTGCACCCGTCTGGTGCCGTCTCCAATGATTTCGGTCTGCGAGCTCCGAATATCCCGGTATTTGGCGGTATCGGGAGCGATTACATGCAGATGCAGGCACCCCGCAACATGTACGACTCCCCTTCGCCTAACGCACCCTCGCTCACGATGTCCGTCAGCACGCTGGAATCAGCGGGCTCGTCGCCAGAGTCACAGAACTTGTCCAACAGCCCAAACGGTGTTGGAGGCAAGGGAAGTCGACGTCGTTCTTTGACAGTGCCGACTCAGCCCTTCCCATACCCCCAGCAAATGTACTCCGGAGGTCAGTTTCCAGTGGACAACGGGATCAACACCACTGGCAGGCTGGAGAATGGACCAATGTCAGCTTATCCATATGTGGGCGGTGGCCTGACATCGGGTAACGTCAGTGCCCTGTCCCAGCCGATGAGCATTTCAAATAACTGGCCTATGCTCCAGAACGATGTCAACAACTACTTGCCGAGCGGTGATTCCTCATTTCACACTCGAAATCCCTCGAACGCCTCATCAATCGACCCCAGTTCTCTTTCCAACTGGAATGGCTCTGCCGAGAGTTCGTCGTCAAATTTGAATTCGGGGATGACATTCCCCCTAGCGCCTGCACCAACCATCAACACAAACTTGAACAATAGTACGTTTCCTGTCATGGACATGTCCAACTTTGTGAACGATGAGTTCGGTCGTCCTCTCACCGCTGCCTCTGACGGAAGTTTCGCACATGCACTCGATGGACTGACGCTTCAGGATCCGTCATACACCGACCCAAATGCACTTTATCAGCAATATCTCACTAACTCGATGCCCGCACCGCAACCAACGATGCCAAACCCTACCGAGAACCTCCCTACAGGTCAGACGCCTGACCTGTGGGCAGCGTTCATGTCTGAACCGTTTGGCGACAACACGCCTACTGCGGAGAAGCAGCAGCAGGTGAATGGGATGAACATGCCCACACCGCTCAAGGGGTTTCGGCCCCAATTGCTGACACGCCTCTCCAAGAGCAACTCCATGCCCGACCTTACTCCTCTTGCTAAGGCAGGTACCCCTGGACTCTTGCAGCAGCAGCAAGATGATAAACCACCCCTTCCTCGGCATTCACGTACTCCGGGCGAGGTCGGAAAACCACTCATTGCCCCACTGGCCGCGAATGCCGAAAGCCTCAAAGCTTATCAGGAAGCGTGCCTCGCCAGGCAGGCTCCTGCGCTGAGACTTTTGCCCAAGGTGAAGACTAGTAGGAGCCCTACGTCTACTGCCAGCGAGAGTCTCTCGCCCCATCTTGCAAGCACGCTTGGCATTCAGGCCGCTTCACCTGCTCGGGAGCGTTCGACTAGCGGCACCTCTCAATCGTCAGTGCAAACAGCTATGGGTCGGCCTTATTCTGCGAGCCAGCCTCCGCCTCAACAAAGCAAAGCAGCGTATCCCTATACGCAACCTCGATCGGGCAGCAATCTCCGCCCTCCGGGAATGGCCGCATTCCCGACTCTTTCGCCACACACCCGTTTCCTTTCTCAATCTCTTCTGGCTCAGAATATGCAGCAGCAACAAGCGCGTCCATCAAACAAGCGTCTACCGTCTACGACCCTCGCACCTGACAACGCGAAGCGTGCTTTGTTCCACAATCTTGGTCATGAGAACAACGAAGAACACGAGTATGCGTTATTCGAAGACGACCGTACCGAGTTTTTTTCAGTCGGACAGGGCGACCGCCGGAGACGCCAGAGCGTCCCGTCCGTCTCCCCTCCCACTGTGAGATCTACCAGTGCCAGTTCCGTGTCGGAGGAGCCTGATCGCTCCCATGCTTCGACTCTCCGTCCTCGAATCATCACCGATGCGATGCGTTTCCCAGCCGCTGCTCCCCAGCTCGTGAACCAGGTTCAGTAGCGTGGGCGCTGTTTGTTCTCTGAGTGGACAGTTTTGCCATCTCGTTTCTTTGTTCTCTCTACGCCTTTTCTACTAATATGCTGCATGCTTTACTGTATTTCTATCTTCCTTTCTCTGTACTCATTTTTCTTTACTTCACTTCCCCCGAAGCGACTCTTGTCTGAGCTCGTCATGCTTGCATCCCTTTCCACCCACATCGACCTTGTATCGACGTAGTGAACTTTCCACTCCTTTTATCGTTTCCACTCTGAGCCACCGGCCTGAGAAAATACCGCATTACTGTATCGCTAGTTGACTCTTAGTCTAAAAGCTGAAACAAGGCATCCTCTGTGTACGCACCCTGAGAAATAAAGATCATATGTTGAACTGCATGCTCTAGGCTGAACTATTTCGTAGCTGAGCTGGTGTATCGTGTAATCAGAAGGGATCGTGAGATGAGAATCAAGATTACGCGTGTTCTGCCATTGAAATATTCCTCAAGCTATTTGAAACAAGTCTAGATAGAAGTGCAGACGCAATCCTAACACGAATGGCCACCTATTTACAGCTCGATCGTGTCCTTAAACTTAAACTTCCTGCTCGCCCTGTCACTGCTCCTAAAGCACATCTGATTCCCATACATCTCAAACTCCATCTCCGGGCCACCTCCTGTCCCTCCCCCCTCGGCAGTAGAAGCAGCAGGGTTAACCGCATACACCGGGATGCGGAGGGTGAACACTGACCCCTTCTTGGGGAGGACCTGGAGCTCGTCCTTGGCTGTAATGACGCGGAACGTGTTCTCCGTTTCGCGTAGGACGATCCCGCCCGCGCCTTGGAGGTCCAAGTTCTTCGCCCGCTTGACAGAGAGGACCGACCCGTGCAGGTCGGCTTTGACAAGTTTCGCCTGGATGGAAGGGACGTTCGGGAGCTTGTGGCTTGCCCGATCAAGGGAATGGAGTGTCTCTTCGTTCGCTGGTGGTGGGAGCTGGAGAAGCTCAGCGATGTACCCCAGCCAAAGGAGGTGGATAGGCCAAAACAGGGACCATCTCGCTTCCCCCTCCTTGAGATCCCACACGCCAGAGCGCTTCGCCTCCTTCCTTCCTATCCGCGCACGGCGTTTAGTCGCCGCCTGGGCAGCCGAGCGCTCTGCGAGCAACTGGGCACGCCGGGATGCGCGCGCGGGGTTGGAGAGGATGAGCTGTTTTGCTTGGAGCCGGTTTGTGTAGATGTGGGAGATGGGCGCGTGGGCTGGGAAGGTGGTGGCTAGGTATTGGGGGATGAAGGAGGAGGAGGCGGGGGTGGGGGTGATCGTCAGTGTTCGTCCCTGCGTGAGGTTAGCGGGTTGGAGCGGGTGGAGTGAGAGCATACCTGTGGGAAGGGCTGGTATAGGTCTATGGGTGTTGATGTCGATGGTGCAGACATGACTTGAGTCACTCGTGACAAATTGGGAGTGAGGAATGTTGCATTGCGGGATAACTTCGCTTCCGAAGTTACGATCGGCGATCTTCACCAAAGTGTCTCATGCATCATGCCACATTCCTCGATCAATTTCACTGCATTGAACATATATAGTCTCATATCACTCATACCATTCTCAACAGCATCATGGACACCGACGATCTCAAGCAATTCCTCTCACAGCTCTTCCCCCCTTCGTCGTTCACACCCTACCTCTCCCACCCCTCGCTCACCCCCGCACTGTACTTCTGCGCATTCAACATCCTATGGACCTACGTCGCCGGAGAGATAACAGGCAACTTCTCCCAGGTCGATAGAGTGTGGACGTTCTTACCTGTCATATATACCGCGTGGTTCACTCTCTGGCCTGTGTGGAACGGCGAGGAACTCAGAACGAGGGGCGTGCTCATGCTCGCCTTGCAGATCACTTGGATGCTGAGGTGGGCCGAGGTTCACGATCCGATTCTACTTCTAACCCATGCAAAAGGTTATCATACAACACCTTCCGGCGAGGTCTCTTCTCACTGTGCGTCTTGTAAGTTGAGACGCGAGAGGAGCCCTCACCCTTGCACAGGTCAGACGAAGATTACCGCTGGCCGATATTCCGTGCTAGCCAGCATTGGCTGCTCATCAAGGTCTTCCACTTTGGCTTCATCGGTCCGTTCCCCATTTCAATTTCTACATGTATCCGCGCTTATAATCCCCAGCTGTAACCCAAAACTTCCTCCTTCTCGGCATTGGGGTACGTCTCCCCCCTTCTACCCATCCTCGCACAGCTCAATACCCTCTAGCTCCCAGCATACTGGACACTATTCGACCCCCCCTCCCCGCTCCAAACCTCTGACTCCATCCTCTCCGTTCTCGCCCTCCTCCTTCTCCTGCTCGAGTTCACCGCCGACAACCAACAATACGCCTACCAGTCATTCAAGCACTCCTCGGGCAAGCCAGGCGCTATCCGCTGGCCGGGGGCAAGACAGGCTTGGACAGAGGCAGATAAGAGACGAGGGTTTGTCAGTCGGGGACTGTGGGCTTGGAGCCGACACCCGAATTTCGCATGTGAGCAGCTCTTTTGGGTATGTGCATTACTTTCTGCCCATCGCACGCGACTGACAGGCCCCAGTTTGTCCAGAACCTTTTCCCTCTCCTCGGGAGCCCCACCGCTCGCCCCTTGCTACCGAGCACAATCCCCTACCCTCTCACTCCTATCCTCCCCTCTCTCTGCCTCTCGCTGCTCTTCGTCGCCTCCACCGCGTATACAGAATCTATCACCCTTTCCCGCTATCCGGAAGCGTACAAGGCTTATCAAGCACGGGTGGGCAAGTTCAGCCCAGGGTATACGGTCATGAAGTGGTTTTGGCTCGGTGTGACGGGGAAGAGGGAGAGGGTGGAGAGGCTCGTTTGGGGGGAAGCAGAGGAGGGGGAGGCGAAGAAGCAGAGATAGCATGTGTGTATGTGTGTATTATATAGAATACGCTTGAGTTTGTGGGCAACACCGATGGCTAGTCGCCCATCTCTTATGGACATAATCTCTGGTATTACGCTGTCGAAGCTCACGGGAACTACGTAAGACTGAAATTGGACACAGGATACAATACTAAAGCCCCCGAAATCGCATAAAATACATGTTGGTTACGGATACAACAAGCGAGGTCAGTCAACTATCGCACCATCGCACCTAGGTCCCTCGCCATTCGCTAGCATGAGCACCTTCCTAAGTCTACGGGCAATGACCTTTCCTCCAGCACTGTGAAATCCCGTCAGCCCATCAGCCCCACGCAGAACAGAAACAAAACACTCACCCAGGCACTATATATGCGTCACCAACGTTGCCAACGAGCAACAGTTGGTCGCAGTTTGAACCTTGGCACTGCGTCAAAGTTGTAAGCATCGTTGCTGGGATGTGTAGCCTAAGAGGCTGTTGGTTGACGGGAACTGGAGAGGTGTTAGTGTTCCCCATGTGGTAAGCGGTCGTATGCTCACCTGGAGTTGACATACTTCACCGAACGAAGCTCCGTTGTTATTCCTAGGCTGAGGGTAGGCATATTAACTGTTCAGGATGTACGACAATGCGTGACTCTTCTGGCAGGATAGGAGCTCAGAGCTGCGGCGTTGTGATGGTACACGACAGTTGATGCCCTTGGTGTCACTATAGTCATCATGGATATGACTTTCGATGGAGTTGCAGAGCTGCGATCTCTCCATTGTCGAATGTGAGCTTGTTTTTTGTTAGGGGAAGCAGAGGGTACGTGTGGTTGTCGGATGAGCGCAGGTTCACAGTGTCAAGTGAGGCGATTTGCGATGGTCATAATTGTCCTGCGCAGGTGCGAAGCTTGTTCCATCTGGATTGAATGCATCACGTCGCGGCTTCCGCCTGGCTCTATTGGCGTGTGAGATACAGTTAGGAGACTGAAGCCACCGGTTGATCCAAGTGTCCGTATGGAACGAGCGCCTGAGCTGAACGCCGACGTCCTATTTCCGTGTGTTATAGAGGGTTCCCCAGAGGCCCTGGCCCTGCGCACCTGTTATTCGACATAGATCCCGTGAGTGAAGTGGTTGACTACAGACAACGAATCAGTAAGGTGTGCGGCAGACAGGATAACATGGTAAGAGATCAGAAAGCTAGGAATTGATAGTGTCGTCGTGGCATATGCGGTGTCTAGTCGCGCTCAGAAACACGGACCATAGCTTGCAGGTCATCCTTTCGAATGGCGTGGAAACGCATGGAAGTAGCGATTGAGGGGTTGGACTCACCCAGGGAATAATACATTGAATGGTTCCAAAAGCCTCGTACGTAGTGACGCTTCAGGTACGAAGTAACATCCTTCATGCCATCCCTGCGTCCTGAATTAGCTTGAGAAGCAGCATGGAGGCATAGACACGACACACACAAAGATAATTGACACATTGATGAGCCCATCCGACTTCGGCGCGACCGGTAACGGGTGCCGAGCCATTCCTTGACATCCGCTGATGACCGAGCTAGAGTCCAGAGCGACTATCCGTCCTTCCCAATAGAAGGAAGCAAGACACAGAAAGGGTACTCCATGAATGGATGGAGATGTTGGCCGGCAAACTTGGACGTACAATGTTGTTCCAGAGGCATAACATAGGTAAAGGCATTATAATACAAATCTTGAGCTGCAAGGTATCTGTGGCGTGTACTAGGCAAGCCAGCAAACGCTTCCATGCAGCGAGGCCTAGAGCGGCAAGTGTATCGTCAGAATCGAGACTGTGGTTTCCATTGCGGATGGACGACATGCTCGGAATCTTCATTTCCCACGCAAATAACATTGGACGTATAAATGGACAAGCCTCATGTTGGACCACAGGTTCCGGTGGGAAGCAATAAGCATCCAATCTGCTGCACCGGCGCTTTAACGAGGTCGTGCCATATACACGGCGCCCATGAGTTCCTGCGGGGGCAATCGCATCCATGGCTCTCCTCCCAAGACGACGCACGGGGATCCCTTAGCAAATGCCTGTGTCGCACTGCTGGCTTCGGTGTTGGATGAGTTGATTTGGCTTTGATCGCGGACCATATGCACGGTCCAATCTATGTTTGCCTGCTCATGGTGTTTCTTGCTCTGAACAGGCTAGAAACTGAGCAGATCATCGTAAGGAACAGCTTCGCTATACGGAACAACCGCACCTACAGA